TCTATCTATCTATCTATCTATCTATCTATCTATCTGTCTATCTGTCTTGTCTGTCTTGTCTGTCTGTCAATCCATCTAATTCAGTTTCTTTCTGTGTGTAAAAGGAGAAGCACTGGAAAAGAGAACAACTAGAGATATTAACAGCTCCCTGGAAACTATACCTGAAAAACCCACAAACCAGCAAGCAAACGTCTCCCTCAGTGTTACCACATCACGAATAGAGACTTCAGCAGGTAGTTTGTCTTGTGTGTGTCTAACCCCATTATTTTTCTTCTGCATGCTATTTTTCTCATCGTACGTATTCATCCTCTTTAGCTTCAAGTACAAAAGCAACAAGTCAACCAAAGCTCACATCAACTTCAGGTATGAGTCTTTACCCTCTGCCTTGCCTAACCTATGTATGTTCAAACATCAAGAGTCAGTAGAGCCATTAAGTTTAGCTAGTAACCACGTTAGCAAACTGTATCACCACCAGACACCGACAAAAATAGAGCGAGAGAGAGCACTTGAGGTAGAGAAAATGCTACATTCTGAAAAGCATACATTTCCTTTGAGACTCATTCTACTGAAACATTTAGAAATTTAATTACTTAAACACAAGACTGAATCTGGAGTTTGATGAGAGGTAACTGTAAGCTATGGAGTCAATATGTCCCAAAAATAAAAAAAGTTTTAACTTGTAAATTATTACATATTCAGTAGAGATGGAAAAAAAAGGTCCAATGTAGTAATTTTTCCCCCTTTTTTTCCAGCACCTGCAGTGAAAACCAACCCTTCTGCACCCGAGAAAACCATCGGTAAAAGGAACACTAAAGTTGTCTGGAGTAATGGAAAAATTTCCCCTATTCCTTAGTTACCCTAAATGCCACAGGCATCGTGGTTCTATTGTTATCTCATGGCAGACTGTGACAGTATCACAATTCCCCGTCTTCCAAACAAACCCACAGCGTAGTGATAGAACAGAGCACCTCACTTCCTCTCTTGCTAACAGATTAATGCTTGATTGTACCTTATGCAAGAAGAGATAAGATATTTGTGTCCTCATGCTGTGCCGGCTTACCATAGATAGGTTTTTGATACGCCATCAACAGCATGTCAGCAGAGCCAGTAGATCTCTCATGCCATCTCTGACAGTTGTTCCCCACTGAGCCTCTTTTTTTGTTCCTATAGATATTTCCTCTGTTCAACAGTCAACCTTAAGTCAATACTTTTTTTCTTCTTCCTTTACTCCATATAGAGTGGAAGTCAGAGTGGGACAAAGATTTCACCTATGGTAAGAAGCTTCTCTTTGATTGTGTTTGATTGTGTGTCGTTACTCGTTTTCTGTGGTTATTTGATTTGTTTTTTATATACTTAGATTATAAGTCCCTGAGTTATGCTGGACTGGTCATTGCAGCAGTGCTGTTCGTCTTTGGCATATTGGTCATTACCTGTAAGTATCTGAAAATCTGAAAGCTATTTTTGTGCTTTGCAATTTCTTGTAATAGTCTACCAACTTCCTTACTCTTTTGCTTATGTTTGGACTGTAGGCGGAAAGTTCAATCGGCTGCCCAAATGCCGCAAGAGGTCAACAAAGTAAGTAATTACATTTGTAACTTTTGTTTTATCAGTACAAAATTCGTATACAGTTAAACATCAAAAAATGTCTGGCTATACCTGATGTGAAAAAAAGAAAGTGCACCTTCTAAAGTCTAAAGTTTTTCATTTCAGGATGTAATAATAAAAAAAATAATCTGGTCCTTGCCAGGTTCTAAAATAATTTAAATACAACCTGCAGAAGCAGTGTGTGAATTCAGTAGCTTGTATAACCACCTTTAGCAGTAATAACTTGAATTACTTGTTTGCTGCTCGACTTTGACGCTTTTCTTTTTCAGCCATGCTGTTGTAAATCCAGAGCTGTGTTTGGGATCATTGTCCTGTTGCATGGCCCGGTTTCATCGGTGTTAGTTATCAGACAGATGACCTCACAGATGTCTAGAATATTTTGGTTTACAGGGGATTTCATAGTAGACTCAGTCACTGAGTCAGTTTTGCAGACAAAGGAAATTCCAAGGTCCTTTGTCTGCAGAACAAGCTCAAATCATCACCACTCCACTACAGTGTTTGACATTTGGTATTGGATGTTTGTGATGAACATGATGTTGTGCATTACATCTCGATTTTATTTAGTCTTCTCTGTCTAAAGGAAGTTGTTCCAAAAGTCTTGTGGTTTGTTCAAATGCAGCTTTACAAATTTAAGCTATGCTAGAAGAAGTTTTCTCCGAGCAACCCTTTCAAAAAGGACATATTTGTGTAGTTTTTTTCTAATGGTACTGTAACATATAGCATGCTAACAGAGGCCTGTATTGTTTGAGGTGAGCTTTTGGGTTTTTCGCAGTTTCTGTAAGCACTGCACAATCTGACCTTGTGGTGAATTTGCTTGGCAGATTGGCAGCTGTCCAAAAAGTTTTCCACTTGTGAATAATCTTTATCGCCACAGAGTGATGGACAAATTGTTTGGAAATGGCTTTCCCAGATTGATGGGTAGCAACAATTGCTTCCCTGAGATCAATGTTGATGTCTTTCCTCCTTGGAATTGTGTTAACACACACCTGAATGCTCCAGCAAACTTCCAAAACTTCAGTTTTTATAGAAGTTCTAATACTGGCTGATCAGTTACGCAAGTATACTTGATTAGCAGCACCTGGTTGGTACTTAGCATCTTGATTCTTTTGGAAGCATTAAATGTGTACTTTATTTTTCTTCTATTCCTGAGCCAAACCCTTGGAAGTAAGAGAAAATGCACTCTCTTTTTCACCTGACTCTATATCGGCCCATTGTGCATGAGGAGCATCTCTCCTTGTGCTGTTGGGAAACTGCATTTGGATGATTTAAATAGTTAATATCAGAGGCTACTTGATGATATATAGCAATGAGTCACTTCAGACATAATAGCGCAACAGAATGCTGACTGAAATCTCTTTGATGATTAATAGATCAGAGGGATTATCATTAAGCTGTTTGTAGGGCAGAACTGCAACAGATCTTGTTTTTTCCTCATATTTAGGTTTGATGAATATCATTGATTGCTGAAATAGTGTTTGATTCTTTAAGAGTAATGCCTTCCTCCTCCCTCCCCCCCCCTTTTTTTGGTCCAGGTCATACCGGGTAGCCCAAGGATAAGGAGAGCGCACGTATGAATCCAGTAACCAAAGAAAACAGCTGCAAGAAAACAACCAGGAATCCATCAATAGAAAAACACCTGACAGTCTGTGTGTGCGTGAATGTGGACTGACACACTGCTTAGCAACTGTCATAGAAAAACAATAAATAAACTTGGAAATCATGATTCATGCTGACAAGTAAAAAAAGTGGAACCATCATCGGGTTCATCATGGTCAACTATTTCAATAGTTGGCAAGAAAAATTCCTTTAAAAAGTTAAGTGATTATTTATCCGGGACAATAATGAATAGATGAATCCCACTTTAATCAAACCTTCAGCCATGAAGCAGGCTGGTTTCTAATGACCTTTGCATCTTGTAACTAATGCCATAGCCACGGGCAGTGTCTCACAGCTCGGATTTATTATTAAAGGTTATGAGGAATAACCCCGCATCATCTCATATTTGACAATCTCGCACAGCCCTTTTCACTGTTCTGTGAGGATATAAAAATAAAAGTTAGCTCACTTCATCATAGCTCCCACACTTGCTTTACACTTTGAATCTTAACGAAAAAGGATGTTTAGTAAGAGTGTCTAAGCCTCTTAGTGGCTCTATGCTTGTAAGCGAGTAAAGCCCTAGATTAAACAACATCCATTGGCACATTATCTCTGTATCCATATGGCATCAAAATTATGCAAACAAGAAACTGGGAGAAGGCACGCAGATTTCATAACACATTTATTAAAAAACAAACACAATCCAGAGCGCAGCATAGATACACAATATACAGTAGTATGTTGTAATCACCATCAGAAGAAACTCAAGGTGACTGCAGCTGTGCAAACAGATCCAATTCATCATATTCTGTCACCTACAGTTTTCCTGTGAGCTATCACACATGTACATATATTGTGATTGTTGGCACAAAATAAACATGAGTTTACCTTAAGAGAAAAGTGCATAAAAACATAAGTAACTTCTTAAAACATACAGGTCCTTCTCAAAAAATTTGCATATTGTGATAAAGTGCATTATTTTCTGTAATGTACTGATAAACAGACTTTCATATATTTTAGATTCATTACACACAACTGAAGTAGTTCAAGCCTTTTATTGTTTTAATATTGATGATTTTGGCATACAGCTCATGAAAACCCAAAATTCCTATCTCAAAAAATTAGCATATTTCATCTGACCAATAAAAGAAAAGTGTTTTTAATACAAAAAAAAAGTAATTCTTCAATAATTATGGTTCAGTTATGCACTCAATACTTGGTCGGGAATCCTTTTGCAGAAATGACTGCTTCAATGCGGCGTGGCATGGAGGCAATCAGCCTGTGGCACTGCTGAGGTGTTATGGAGGCCCAGGATGCTTCGATAGCGGCCTTAAGCTCATCCAGAGTGTTGGGTCTTGCGTCTCTCAACTTTCTCTTCACAATATCCCACAGATTCTCTATGGGGTTCAGGTCAGGAGAGTTGGCAGGCCAATTGAGCACAGTAATACCATGGTGGGTAAACCATTTAACAGTGGTTTTGGCACTGTGAGCAGGTGCCAGGTCGTGCTGAAAAATGAAATCTTCATCTCCATAAAGCTTGTCAGCAGATGGAAGCATGAAGTGCTCCAAAATCTCCTGATAGCTAGCTGCATTGACCCTGCCCTTGATAAAACACAGTGGACCAACACCAGCAGCTGACATGGCACCCCAGACCATCACTGACTGTGGGTACTTGACACTGGACTTCAGGCATTTTGACATTTCCCTCTCCCCAGTCTTCCTCCAGACTCTGGCACCTTGATTTCCGAATGACATGCAAACGTTGCTTTCATCTGAAAAAAGTACTTTGGACCACTGAGCAACAGTCCAGTGCTGCTTCTCTGTAGCCCAGGTCAGGCGCTTCTGCCGCTGTTTCTGGTTCAAAAGTGGCTTGACCTGGGGAATGCGGCACCTGTAGCCCATTTCCTGCACACGCCTGTACACGGTGGCTCTGGATGTTTCTACTCCAGACTCAGTCCCCCAAGGTCTGGAATCGGTCCTTCTCCACAATCTTCCTCAGGGTCCGGTCACCTCTTCTCATTGTGCAGCGTTTTCTGCCACACTTTTTCCTTCCCACAGACTTCCCACTGAGGTGCCTTGATACAGCACTCTGGGAACAGCCTATTTGTTCAGAAATTTCTTTCTGTGTCTTACCCTCCTGCTTGAGCGTGTCAATGATGGCCTTCTGGACAGCAGTCAGGTCAGGCCCATTTAGAGAACCTTTTCATGATATGCTCATTTTTTGAGATAGGAATTTGGGGTTTTCATGAGCTGTATGCTAAAATCATCAATATTAAAACAATGAAAGGCTTGACCTACTTCAGTTGTGTGTAATGAATCTAAAATATATGAAAGTCTAATGTTTATCAGTACATTACAGAAAATAATGCACTTTATCACAATATGCTATTTTCTTTGAGAAGGACCTGTAATGTAGTTTTGTATGAAACTAAATAAAAAACAAAACAAAAACATATATACATTTTACAAAACTCCCACTATCAGTGGGCCCCACCCAGAATCATAATAAAATCTTTCTCCAAAACATGAGATTTCTATAGAGACAATGCAAGTGCATTGCTGTGTACATTTGTAAATACATGGATTATACTGTGTATTAGAAAGCAAGATTAAGTGCACAGTTTCGCAATGCTTTTAGCCTACAAAGATAAATATATCAGTAGTTTAAAAAAAAAAACAAAAAAAAAAAACAGATATTAGCATAACCCTTTCCATTTACATCACTGAGATAGGAGGGGAGGAAAAACAAAACAAAACAAAACAAAAAAAAGCTCCACAGCAACATTTGCTTTACACAAATAGAGTCACAACAGTTAGGCTTTACGAGACTGAGCAGCTGAGTAGAATTTGGTTAAAGGCGTGCTGGTGCTGAATAACTCTTTGGGTTTCTGCATGAGCCCGACTGCTTTCTACATTGCTACATCGGTTTTGGAAATGTGCTATGCTTGTCCTACAAAGTGAGAATCAGTAAATACTAAGGGACAGACTGACAGACAGAGAAGAGTGAAATGTTTCGTGCTGCAATTTTTTTCCCCTCAAATAGTCCTCTTTTTGAAATGCTGACAGATATTGAAGGCTTACAGGGGAATGCTACACTTTCAAGACATAACAATAGCGCAGGGCACAGTAAAAACAAAACGCACAAACAATAATCACATCTGGGTTACATCGAGTGGGAAGCATAGTTTTTTTTTTGTTTTTTTTAAACGAAAGCACTTCAGCACACACACCAATAGGGAGTGCACATCCTTGATAAGGACCTGATTGCATAGTTGTTGTGGGGGGGGGGGGTTGCTCTCAGGTCTGGATGGCAGCCAGGCCCACTCCCCAGTGGCAAGACATATTGCAAGATATTTAGTGGAAGAGAAAAGTGAGACGCTGCTTCGGCAAATCCACTATTTAACTCTATATAGTCATTCCCAGTGTTATTAATTCCATTATCAGTGCTCCTTCTGATGGCACAGACAAAAAGCTGACAAGGAAAACAGATTCCCTTTTGCCGACAAACAACCAGGGAAGCCGGCACCTTAGATTCTTGGATAGAAAGGGTTCCTGCACACAGCACGAAAAGGTTGATTTGCATAAAACCAGAGAAAACTGTGTGTTCTGTATGAATGAAACAAAGGCATTGTTGGCATTTTCCCCAATCATCCTACTTTATTTAATTCTTGAGATTTTATCCTTCCCTCCCTCATAACGAGGTTCTCTGTAACAGTGTGGGAGGCATTAATCTAACTCTCCACAGCATTCAGAGAGCTATTTACAATCTAAAGTGAAAGCCTTTCAAGAAGAGGGGATTGGAAAACATCATCATTCATGGTGGTTGATTAATTTGTGGCAGTGCAGGAAGGTTTTAGCACTAGCCATTTCCACTTGTTTCGGGGGTTTTCCCCCCTCTCCTCTTGTAACTGGAAGTTAAGAAGACAGTGAACGGGTTTTTATCTTCCTATTTTGTTGCCTCCTGTCATTCCTAATGGGCCAGGAAGAGAAAATGTGACACAAGTGAATAGGAATGAACGTGAGGCCGGCTTAGGCTGGATTAGTGTGGTTTGTCTCACTCAACGACCATTTCACATAGACGGGTCTCTCAGAGTTACACTGCATAGTCGTTGGGAATAATTTCTTGTCTCAGGAATTAAAGGGGAAAAAAAAAAATCAGGGAGTTCTGGCTGTGCTAAATTATCCCTTTCAACAAAAGGAGCTTTAAGCCACATTCACTGGCTTTGATTTGGATTCCTCAAATAGAATCCAATTAGAAGGTTTGACTGTGTTCCAAAAGTCCCAGGCTAAATTATGTGTATGTACAGAACAAATGACTGGGACAAACACAAAAGTATACAAAAAACAAACAAACAAAAAACATACTGCATATGCTACACATGTATAGGAGGTTATGTGGGAGGGAGGAATGAACTGAACATTCAGAAGCAGGCTGTTGTTCCAAGAAGTCTAGCTGTCCTGAGTCAAAGAGTAGGAGATAACATTTCCTGATGCATCGACCTCTCTTGCCTGTGTGTTATAGGGCTTGAAGCTGTAGACCAGGAACTAGACGGACCCTTTGTGGTCCTGTTCTATTGGCACAGAGTAGATCCTGAGGAGAGACAGAGTAAGAGAGAGAGAAGAGACCACAGGAGGGGGTGAGGTGAAGCAGGTTAAAAGCAAAATTTCACCTTTAAAGGTATTTTTAGAAAACGTCTGGAGATGCACAAGAAGCGTCTCTGTGTGGCGGAGTTCAGGAAACGGCATGTCTGCTGAGTGCTACAGGGCTTTGACAGGTGCACAGTGACTGCATCACCTCAGAACACAGCTCATCCCCAGGTGGGACTTATAAACCTGGCAAGGCACTGTTGATCCAACAAGCCAGAGGTTGCTGTGTGATTAAGCCTCTTTTCAACAGAGCGATCAGTCAGCACCAAACACTGCCAGAGCTGACTGCAGCCCCAGGAGGCAGCCAGTAATCCTGCAGAGGAATTTAACCCTTGCACATCGACTTGGGGATCCGCTCTGCGACAGCTGTTCGCTGCTGCTTTAAAGATCTTTGAAGCCCGATTTGACCTCCATGACCCCTCTGACCCAACCTGCACATCACATTACATAACACCTCCAGGACAAAAGAAATTGATTACACTGCAAAATGTTCTCCAACAGAGGAGGACAAAAAAAAACCAAAACAAAACAACAGAGAGAGTCTCTCAGTTTAACTGGTTTAGGCTGTTCTGCTGTCTGATTGCCGTTGGCCAACTGTTGTCATTGAGTCAGTCTCATGTTTACCCCGTTGCGTTATTTATGACTAGAGGTGTCTACTTAGGCCTCAGCTCATGAGGTAAGCTTTTGAACAGGTTAAGTCCTGTCCCATTCGGTCATATAGACCTAGGGGCCCTGCCTTAA